AGAATTGTATAGCAACCTATGGCCAGAGAATTGTATAGCAACCTATGGAATTATTTATAAACATGAGTTATGCCGGATAATTGAGCACGTAGGTTACAAATACTGAGGTGAGGTAGAATAATTGAGAATTGTATAGCAACCTATGGCCAGAGAATTGTATAGAAACCTATGGAATTATTTATAAACGTGAGTTATGCCTGATAATTGAGCACGTAGGTTACAAACATTGAGGTGAGGTAGAATAATTGAGAATTGTATAGCAACCTATGGCCAGAAATGTCACCATAAGCAGCTATGAGTGCTTCCCTATATTACCTTTATTTCCTATTCGTGCGCATTTAAACCGGCACTTTTATTTATCTAAATTATCTTAATTTTATGTTTTATAGTAATTAATTTTGAAAATTGCATTAAAATAGATCTAACTTCAGATGTATTTCAGTCCATCGATTCTGGGAAAAACTTGCAACGCTCACCAATTTGGTTAGATAAAATAACTGTGATAAAACAGCCATTTCTGTACCAATTCAGAAACAATTTTCAAAAATAATTACTCGGAAACATATAATTAACATGACATAATTTAGATAAATAAAAGTACTGGTTTAAAAGCGTGAGAACAGCCAGTCCATAATAGAGAAGCACCCCTTGCAGCGTAGGATAACATTCCCGTCCATAAGTGGCTATGCAGTTTTCAATCATTATGATGTATTTTACTTCCTTCAAAGTGTGTAGCCATTTTGCCGAATCATTCTGCATTTGTTTGATCTTGTTATTTCTTGACTATGTTTCCAATTGCTCAGTACTCTAAATTGTTGCTTATGCCTAAACTTTATACGTAACCAAATGTGCAATTGGATATAAACAAATAAATATGCTAATTAAATATGAACGGCAACAAAATCAGTGCTACATGGTAATTTTTTTCATCAGATTTGTTTTTTATAGAGCAAATTACGCTTGAAATTTATCCAAAAAACAATATTTTCTTATGCTCAATAATCTCAAAAAAATTTGATACGACAGAAAATATGCCTAGATTTCACAAAATACAGAACTCCATTAGAGATTTTAGCACTATAGTCAGTCGGAGAATGATCAGTATTATGATTGATGATAAATACTACTTAGTGTTAAAATGACGATAAATTCTGTTCATAGGGGCCAGAAAACGGCTCAAACTTGCAATGGTGTGATTGAGAGTTCGCTTTCCAATGAGGTGACCAGGTTTGAACCCCAGCGGTGACTGGTTGATACGAATTCTGATGCCTTCTCGCACTGACTATGGTACTGGAGTAAAATATCCTCAATGGTGGACGGATCATGGGTAAGCATATCCTTGTTGTGGAGCTAACCGTGAGGTTTTCTTCCCCATGTAATGCAAATGCTGGTTGGTTTCACCAGAAAGTTCTCCACAAAGGCTAGTTTGTCCCAAAGCTTTATCCACGATTTTTCTTGTCTTCTGGATTGGGTTCAAAATTAGAAGGCTACGAAGTTGGACATTGAGAGTCAAGTGGTTCTACGACGGTAATATAAAATAAAATGTGATTGCATAGATTTCCAGTAAAAAGTTGAGTGCTCCAGCTAAATGAAAAGGGATAGATATTTCGATTATAAGGTACATCCGATCTAAGATTTCCACACGAAAGGAAGCGCAATAAATGCAACAATACGTAAATATCATGTATGAAATAAATAATAACGTAGTAAATACAACGTTACGGTAGTAAAACAAAGAAATCCTTAAATTTAACGTAATGCCCATTACAGCATCGAAGATAAAACAAAAATGATGAAATTCAATTGAGCAGATTCGAACGAAAATTTTAAAGGGAGTATTGCGATTTCTTCCGAGACAAAAAGTCAATTTTTTTCTCTGCTTCGCATTCTTTCTGCTTTCTCTGCTGCACATCCGAACAGTTGATCATCTGTCTCATCCTCATGGTTTGGAGCACGTTCTTTTCGAAAAAGTGATGCCGACAATCCTCTTCATCCGTCCAATCACCGGCGCAGACGACATTGAACTTGAAAAAAAGAGGGGAAAGGCTTTAGTTCATTCTGATTCGAGCAGCCCCTCTGTGAGGAAGTGTTTTCTATCCTCCCTCGTTTCCTCAAGGACGCTAACTCATTGTCAAGGTTCATCCGATTTAGCCTTGTGTTTTTAGGTGCTCTCTTCCTCGGCATCCTTCCTAAGGATTCGTTTAACTTTGTGGGAGATTAAACGGTGAGTACGTTCACATCTTCTTTTGCGGATCATATGCAAATGCGATGTTATCAGAAATAAAACACTGTTATTGTGTAGAGGGTGGTTGCGCTGTATAATGGAATTATTATACATTGTTATTGTTTCGGTTTTTAATTTAAATTCAATTGTCTTTTTTTTGTGTATATTTTAGAAGATAAATGGAATTGTGATTTATGAATTTATTGAAAATGTATTTGAAGTTTTAGTAATTTATTTCAATTCCTTACGTTGCTGTTTTAGAATGTCGATGATTTGAAGGAAAATTGAGATAATACTTTATTATGAACTTATTTCATATCGTTCGTTTCATCATCGTTATCGTTAGAGATCCGATTCAATTTTAATTTAGAAATAGATTCAGTTTTAATTTAAACATCATGTTTAATTTTAATATAAAGATTAGATTACAATAAAACAAAAGAGATTATATTCGATTTTATTTTAAAAATTTAGTTTTTTATTTGTTCTTTGACACTTGTCATTTTTTATAGAAGTTAAATTGAGTTTCATTAATGATTTAAATTTAACGAAATTGTTTATGAATTATGGACAATATGTCTTTAGTTTTACCATTTTATAAATATTTGCTTTTGTCGCTGTTACGTGTATGTATTAAATTGTGATTGTAATTGCGCTGTATAATGGAATCATTGGACGTTGTCATTCTTTCACTCTTTAATTTAAAATCAATAAAAGAAATTGTATATTTTAGAAGATAAATGGAATCGTAATTTATGAAATTATGGAAAATATATTTGTAGTTTTAGTAATTTGTTTCAATTGCTTACGTTGCTGTTTTAGAATGTAGATTATTTGAAGGGTAATTGAGACAGTACTGTATTATGAACTTATTTTATATTGTTAGAGTTTCATTATCGTTATCATTAGAGATTCGATTCAATTTTAATTTAGAAATAGATTAAATTTTAATTTAAAGATCATGTTTAATTTTAATATAAAGATTAGATTAGAATAAAACAAAAGAGATTATATTCTATTTTATTTTAAAAATTTAGTTTTTTATTTGTTTTTTGATATTTGTCATTTTTTGTAGAATTTTAATTGAGTTTTACTAATGATTTAAATTTAACGAAATTGTTTATGAATTATAGAGAATAAATCTTTAGTTTTACCATTTTATAAATATTTGCTTTTGTCGCTGTTACGTGTATGTATTAAATAGTGATTGTAATTGCGCTGTATAATGGAATCATTGGACGTTGTCATTCTTTATTGTTGTATAATAATGACGTTGTCATTATTAGACTTTGTTATTGTTTCGGTTTTTAATTTAAATTCAATTGTCTTTTTTTGTATATTTCAGTAGATAAATGGAAATGTGATTTATGAATTTATTGAAAATGTATTTGTAGTTTTAGTAATTTATTTCAATTGCTTACGTTGCTGTTTTAGAATATAGATGATTTGAAGGATAATTGAGATAGTATTTTATTATGAACTTATTTCATATCGTTACAGTTTCATTATCGTTATCGTTAGAGATTCGATTCAATTTTAATTTAAAGATTACGTTAATACAAATATTAGATTAAAATAACAACTTTAATACAAATATTAGATTAAAATAAGAAAAAGATCATATTTGATTTTATTCTAAAAATTTTGGTTTTCATTGAATTTTTGATACTTGTTTTTTTATTGAAGATAAATTGAGTTTTATTTATGATTTAAATTTAACAAAATTGCTTATGAATTATAGAAAATATATCTTTAGTTTTACTATCTTATAAATATTTGCCTTTGTCGTTGTTACTTGCATGTATTGAAGAATGATTGTGGTTGCGCTGTATAATGGAGTTATTAGACGTTGCCATTTTCAGTTTTTAATTTAAATTCAGCAATATTTTTGCATATTTTAGAAGATAAATGGAATTGAAATTTATGAAATTTATGATATATTTGTAGTTATACTATTTTATTTCACTTGCTTTCGTTGCTGTTTTAGAATTTGGGTGATTTGAAATGTAACTGAGATAGCGCTTTATTATAAATTTATTTTATAACGTTAGAGTCTCAGAATTTAATGTAAAGATCAGATTCAATATTAATTTAAAAATAGTTTCAATTTTTATATAAAGATTAGATTACAATAAAACAAAAAACTACATTCGATTTTATCTTAAAAATTTAAGTTTTTATTTAATTTTTGATTCTTGTCTTTTTTCTTGAAGATAAAGTGAGATTTTTTAATGATTTAAATTTAACAAAATTGTTAAAAAATTATAGACCATATATCTTTAGTTTTACTATTTTATAAATATATGCTTTTCTCGCTGTTACGTGTAGGTATTGAAGAGTGATTATGATTGTGCTGTATAATGGAATCATTAGACGTTGTTATTGTTTCGGTTTTTAATTTAGATTCAACTGTATTCTTATATTTTGGAATATAAATGGGTTTGTGATTTATCAAATTATGGAAAATATATTTGTGGTTTTACTATTTTATTTCAATTGATTTCGTTGCCATTTTAAAACATAAATGACTTGAATGAAGATAACGAATTTGTGCTCTATTATGAAAGTATTTCATATCGTTATCGTTTCAGATTTTAATTCGAAGATTAGATTCATCTTTTGTTTAAAGATTAGATTCAATTTTAATTCAAATATTTATGAAGTACTCGTTTCCACTCGTANTGAAAATATCTTTTGTGATGTAACTCTTTCAAAAGTACCTAGGAATGGTTGCCAGCAGGGGTGTACATGTAGATTTATTAAATACACCTTGTGCGCCACCTAAGAACCAAATCTAAAACCCGACACTCGAAATTTTTGCTCTGTTACAATCGTACCCTGTTACAATTGACCCCACTCTCCCCTACTATTTGCTACGCTGTAATGTGTTAAAATAAATTTTCAAAAATATTAATAAACGGAAATTTTGTTTTTAAATCAGCCTCTGATCGTTCTTTTTACTAAAAGATTGAAAATAGTTTTTTTTCTTCTTTTATTTAAATTGATGAGTTTTAATTGTGATTTCTTGGGAATAAATTTATGAGCAAAAGTTTGCTATTTTATGGATAAATCTTTCATAGATTTATAATAGAAAAAAAATGAAAGTAAGTGATTCCAGTATTTATTTAAATATATTCAACGTTCTTTTTAACACGAAAATCCACAATTTTATCTATGAATATTTTATCTATATATATTTTTTTTTCTAAATTCCATATGTATCTACCAGTTTGTAGTTTTTCTTTAGAAAAATTATCAATTTTTACAAATATCATTTAATGTCAGAAGCATTAAACACTTGCTTTGTTCTTTTTAAGGAGAATTTTTTATTCAATTGGATAATGTAAAGCACTGAATATATGGTACTTAATTACTTCCCTAAAAATATTGTATTCATAATTAGATTTTTAAAATTAAAATTTGCCAACGATGCAAATTTTTCATTTTCAATCTTATAACTTCCCATTTTGTATCTAACGATTTTCAGATTTATGATTCAAATAAAACAATTTCATAACATGTTGGAAACATGCTTGTCCAGTTGTATGTCCAGTTTTTTGGATATTGGTTATTTTTGTTTAATATGACATCCAGTTTTTTTTCAGTCATAAAAATGACATTTTAGTGTGTTATCATTTAATTTAAATATACTGATTTTTTTTCAAGATATTTTTTAAGTTTTTGTTTTTAATTTAACATTACAAGACAACATAATATCAAATAAAAACATGACATAAACGAGTTATACTCGAACGCTAATTCGAAATCCAGTGGCTATTTCTTTTAAAATTTGTTACGTGAACTAAAAAATCACGTTTTTCTTTATTTAAAAGAGAAAAAGGCCAAACAGAAGAGCGGGTCGTTAAACGCCGCTGGATTGGAAAACCGTCACCCGTATATTTGTTAACTTAGGGAGTTCCTACTCAGCACACCCAAACTAACCACTACCACTGCACACCCAAATCGGATTAAGAGGATAGTCCATAAGGGAAGAATGATTATATTTATAAATTTACGTGTTTTTTTATTTTATTTAATATCAAATTTTTCTTTTATCTAATATCAACATCTCTTGCATCCAGTTTTGTTAATAATGACTCAAATATGTTGACTTCTTTCAAACAAAATTTAATGATAACTTTTCGAATTTTTTGATTTTTACTTCATAACTATTGTTTCTTATTTTCATTAAATATCTTCTTAATTATGAATTATGTTTCTCATATTGTTTCCGAATTTATTTGAATATCAACTTGTTACAATTTTTATTCCAGTCCTGAATTTTTCTGATCGATATGTTTCAGTATGCTCGATATGTTGAAACAGTCCGAAATTTCATTGAAATTCCCATTAAATTTAGAACAACCACTTGTGGGTCTAATTCTTACCTAACTAAACCTGGCACTATTTTCTGTAACTACCTAAGTAAAATTATTAACAATATCATTAAAGAAGGGGTTTTTTTTTGGATTATCACTAATAATCAACTTATTTTAGAATTTATTAAACAAAATAAAATTAATTCTATAGCAACTTATGATTTCCAAGATTTCTTTAATAGCTTCCCCCTTTCTAAACTAAATTATGTTCTTTTGAGTAATTAGTACTGATTATAAAAATATCCTTAATTGCGGTTTTGATTATTGGGAAATTCTAATTAATATTTTTAATAACTATCTTACATTTAAATTAATTAATTTTAATAAACTACCTTTACAATGGAGAACATAATTTTGTTCAAAAATATTTAATACTACAAAGATCTAATTATTCAACACTTTCTGCTAACTTATTTTTACACTATTTGGAAAAACATTTATACTCGTAATATTAAATTTGCTTTTAGATTTATTGATGATTTAATTATCTTTAATTTTCAAAAATATGCGATATAGTTAAATAGAAATTTTCCACCAAGGAATTAATCTTGCTCTGTAATCATGTCGATAATATTAATTTTAATTTTTCGGATTTAAGTGTTAAAAAACAAGAAAAGACCT